GGGGGAAGGGGAGGGACTTCTAGTCCCAAGACTGCAACCAGGGTGGGGCACCAGCCAAGGAGGAGCTACCCTTGCAGCCCTCTACAGCTCACCCAAAAACTCATTAAGTGGTCCTCCAGCTGAAATAGTTGCCCACCTTTTCATATAGATACATAAAAAACACAAGAGAAGCCAGGTTGGTTGTACAAATACTGGAACATTTTAATCAATCAAGATGTGGTTGGTTTAAAACTCACACCATTTTCCCTTGGACAAATAGAAAGCTGTTTAAAGAGGGGGTCAATATGCTTGCCAGTTGTGATAGCTTCTCTTCGCAGCTGAGTAGTCATAAATTTGAGGGCACTGGTATTCACTGTTGCACACCAAACAAGGGAGTTTTTAGTTACGTTAAAAAGATTGTACAAACATTAGATAAGGCCCATGTAGATAAAGATATCCTTTCCTGTAAATGTGTTACTATGCTACAGTAATGGCTTCACTTCCAATCCTGTCGGAAGGAATTTCTTCTTGCAAGCAAATAGAGCCGTCCCTACAAGGAAAGCAAATTTTCTCCCCCCACTCAGACAAAGAGAATAGTCTAGTTTGAGCTACTGCTTTGTTTGATAAATTAGAATCTCGGACGCAAGCGTTAGAAGAACTTAAATGAGTGGCAAAAGTTAGAATATTCCTCAACTTGGAATCACATCCATTACCAGTTCTGGCATTACGACATGGGTCCCCTCCAGCTCCATCCACCTTCCATCCTAAAAGGCGGCAATAAAGGCTTTATAAGAAGCCCACACTTTTGCTCACTCATAAAGAAGCTGGCACTGTAGCCGAGAAGCATCTACAGCTTCGTGTGGGAAGTCAGTCAGTTCATTGTTTAAACACCTTCAAGCAACATCGGTCTTCTTAAAAGTAGCATCAAAACAGACCAGGAAAACCCATAAAAATCCACACATTGTTTCATGCGCCTTTTGATGGCTCACAAGTTCGCGTAGTCTTCTTTAAGCACTCTCAGCAGCACATAGCAAAGGAAGACCCCAAGTATCTGAGAAGGAGGTGAAAACAGGGAGTAAGTAGCTTGATTGTATCTCAGAAGGTTTTAATAAAAGTTCCTGAGTTTTAATGGACATCTATAGTGACAAGAAGAGAACCTAGCTTTTTTACTAAAAAATTTACTTCAGCTACACCAGTAGTGCTTGGAGCACTTGAGCTGATAGTATGCTGAAGTGCCTGTAGTTGGAGGTTCAATTGTAGTGGTTTAAAACAAGGGTACATTAGGATGCCTTCCACCCCTCTTGGATAATTACCAGTCAATAAGTTTGAGTACTAATTTGCCTCTTTTCCTTCCATCTTATTCCACCTCTTTGATACCAAATGAGATCTGTTACTGCCCTCCCACCACCTGCCATTAAAAGGGCTGTAATCTTTACTTTGCAAGCTGGACTTTTTACCTGTGCAAATCCAATACTTATGCCAACAGCTCCAATAAATACAATATGGTCTTCAGTCCATTTCTTCAGCTTTTCAACACATCCCTAGAAAGGAGAGATTACTGCTAACCACTCAATCTGGTACAAGTGTTAGCATCTGTACACATTCTGGGGAAATGATGAGTTGCAATAGGCTGGGGGGAGGGGAAAGGAGAAGAAATCATTCAAGTTTTGTTTCAGTTCCAAATTCTGTTAACAAAATAAAACACCCCACACAGAACTTTAGATATGGCTTTCAAGAGACAAAGATGACCAAGACTGCGTATTTCAAATATACGTATTTGTGGTTTATCTAGAATTTCACTACTGTTCTTACAGAAGAAAAAAAAAAGAGTTTAAAAGAGGGAAAGAGATTTTCTACATAGCAAAAAGAATCATAGACCTGACCCAGAGCTGAGGAATCTGACAGAACGTGACCTGCTGTGATGCTTAATATCTTTTAGCCAAAAGCAATGGGTGGAGTAGCATGACTAGTAGTAGCTTAAACAGACATGCAAGATTGTTGGACTTGGTCTAAGGTGAGATCCAAGACTGAAATAATGAAGTACCAAAAGAGATGAAAAGGATATGAAATTGCAAGAAAAAAAAAGGGTTTGGAAGATTTTTTTTTTCTTTAAGAATAGAGAGAGAGAGAGAGAGGATCAACGTATTTCTTGTTCTCATTCAGCTTTCATAGCTAGAATAGTTAACAAAGTGGCAGAGACAGGATGATGCCCAATTAGGGCAGGCAACCAACTTGTAAGCATAGCTTTACAGGGAGTAGGCGTGTTATTATATCCCGACAAGTGTTCCAGGAGCTAGAACAGAAAAGGTTTTCAGCTCATTCTCCATACAATCCAAGGATGTCATGCTTGAAAGTTGTAATATGCATGGAGGAAATGAAACGAATGCGAGTTAATGCCCCCCACCCCAGCAAGGGATAGCCGTGTCTGAGCATGGCATTTTTGCTGTTGTAGTGGAAAATAGAAATATTCAAAGTCAGGGGTGTCAAACAGCTTGTGGGCCAGAGCATCTTGCCCACAGGTTTGCAGACTCTGGCCATGATGGGACCTTTCTGTGGCCACAGCCAAGTGCCAGGGCACTAGAGCAGGCTGGTTCCCACAACAGCGACCAAGTGCCCGTGATGCCAGGCTTCTTCCTACAGTGTTGTTGGGGCTCTGGCACCTCTGCTCTCACCCAGCTGCGGTACTTTTTCCTGCAACCAAACACCTCTCACTAATTTGGCTGCCAAGTACCTGGGAGGAAACAGCAGTCCTGGAGCTCCAGCAGCACCACAGCAAGCAGTTCGACACTGAAGCTTGTTCCCACAATGGCAACCAAGAATCAGGGATGCCTGGCCTCTTGCTGCCAGGTCTCAAAACTAGCTACTAAATGTGCTGGATTCAATATGGGAGGAGGAATATATATGGACCCAGTCCAGCCCATGGGGCTAGCCCCAGGCCATTTCATCCAGCCCATGGGACTGGTTGTACACTACATATCCAGCTTGCAGGACCACACAAGTTAGATACCCCTGCTTTAGATACCTGCAGTCATTAGTCGTTCTGCGACATAGCATATACATATTATCCAAGCAAGGGCATTTTAAAAGGAAAGGAGCCTGCTGAGGTCCTGAGAGCAGTCTAGCTGCAGCAGCACAGGGTTTGCTGTTGGCTTATTTACATTTCTTAGATAGGTTTTTGTAGCACATGCCACTTAGGTATCAACGGCAAGTCTAGCTAAGCTAGCCAGTCTGCCAAGCAGACGTAACTTTAGAGAGGACTATTTTGGAAAAGGGCTCATCTATAAATCAATTAGCCAGAAGGCAAATACCACAGATTCAAGTCACTTAGGCAGCAAGCACTAACTGCAGTGTCAGCTACTCAGTAGGGGAGATTAACAAGAGAAGGGTAAGACTTGAATAGTGAGGAAAACCACAAAAACCTGTTGATTAATGTTAGAAGCGTCTTTGCTTAGATTCCTTCCACAGTTTCTCGTTACAGCCTTGCAGCAGCTACTTGGAACAGCAGAATTGAGATATCCATACGTAGTGTTGAGCCAGTCAGTGTAGTTCTGGGCACCACAGCACTGAAACTAGAAGTGGCATAGATTCAGGTGAATTAGTGGCATTTTAAGTAGAAGGCAAGAATTCTTGTGGGTAATTTCTTTTATCGGATTAAGTGTATAGTTGGTATAGACACAGGCAACCTTATCATAGTACCTTTCCTCAACCCTCCCCGCTAGACAGAAGGAGACACAGCAGAGCTAAATAGCAGGAGGAACAAAGCGTTGTTAAATAGGGTCATTATCAGCTGTGAAGTGCAGGGGTTAGGGAGCATCAAAAAGATTATAATGAACCATGAAGTCATAGTCTAACCTCAACTCCTTGGTGCTTAGTGTTCAATAGGCAGCAGTCCATTCTACTATAGAGCAATCTTTTCAGAAAGAAGCAGAGACTTGGCTCTTGGAAAGCCTTTCTTGATTAATTCAGATTTGTCCTGGAAGTCTAGATCACTTTAGATAGATGGTCTAAAATTCATAGTCTGTCATACCATGGTCAGGTTGACCAAGCAAGACTAATCCAGAGATTTTGGTAGACATTAGTACTTGCATCCCCTTGTAAATTAATTTCCTGGGATGCCCCTGGTTTTGCAAGGAATTCAGTAGAAATGCAATCCAAATCAATTTTAGTTTCTTTAAAGATGCCCATTCAACCAGCTCCATAAGCTGTTCAATCTTTACCAGTTAAAACTGCATTGGAAGCAGGATTCTTGCCAACAGATGGCATCTCATTTGCCATTGATTTCAAACATATTTGAACTCCCAAATCTTAGATTCCACCTCGCCCCCAACCCCTCTCCCAATCAGCAAAGTTAGGAGGGGTCAGCACCCTGCAAAGCTACTCCTATTTATTTAAAGCTCAAGTTAGAGCTGTGCTAAATTAGAGTAGGATCTCTTTCGAGCGTTTTTAGTCAATCGAGTCATCCTGCTTGGTCAGTCCCCAGGGAGAAAGGTTCTCCAGCTCATCAGAATTTATTTCTAGTTTACCAGCAACCCTCCACCCTACCCAGCATAGAAGATCCAGCTGCTTTGCAGTCTCCAGCTAAACATGCCTTTAATACAAGTCAGAGAAACCACACAAGGATTTGTCTCGAGACATCTGAAGGTTCCCAGAAGTCATAGTCCGTTTTCATTATCCATTGAGAGAATATGCTGTAACTGCTCTCTCATTACCAGAAGGCAGAGCAGAGACTACTTACATTCCTCTGTAGGTCATCCACACCTCGGGTTATTTGGGATTCTCTGTCATATTCGTCAAGGGTCTTCAGGACACTTCCCAGTAGGTTACGGTGCAACTACAAGTAAAGTTTGTTATATTTTTGTGCCAAAAAAAACACCTATCTGTTTTCATATCAAAAAGTTCCTTCACATTCCCTTTCAAAATACTAGGTCAGCACAGGGTCTCTTTTTTAAATAGAAGTAGAAGCTTTAAATAAGAGAGGATGTATAGAGCAACTGAGCTATACCCTCTTCCTGTATTGGAAAGTAGTATAGAAGTGGCCAAGCACTGGAACAGATTACCTGGGAAGTCTGCAGACCCTCCATCGCTGAGCATTTAAATGCCCATTAGACAAACATTCATCTGAAATGGTTTAGGCTGGGGAGGGAGTCCGACTCATCCAGCCCCATAAGGCCAGGCAAGTGGCCCAGGACCAGACCACAGGACCTTGCCTCAGATGGCCTTAGTGGGTCAGGTGCCCTCAGCATTGCCATCCCAGACTGGTCAGAGGCCCCACTGCCAGCAAGAGCTGGTACAATGGAGGAAGAGGGTGGTCCCCAATGGCCCCACACAGGACCAGCACCAGGGCTGAATGATATGGCTCTACAGGGCAGATGCAGCCCACAGGCTGCATCTCTGGCCTCCCTGCTTTAGGCGGAGTGGCCCTGCATCAAGGAGGGGTTGGACCCAATGACCTCCTGAGGTCCCTGCCAGCCTCATTTTTCCATGATTCAAAAATCAAAACCATGTAGTCTTTAGCACATGCATGTGAAGCTTTCCCCATGCAATTCTAGAGTCCAGTAATCAAGTTGAGCCATTAAGACAACAGACACCCACATTCTAGAGTTAGACTTGGTTCAAATACAAGGTTTCTTGCCCAAGGCTTCCATTAGAGCAGGGACGGGCAATCATTTTGGGTGGAGGGCTGCGTACCGAGTTTTGGCAAGCCATCAAGGGCTGCACGACAGGCAGCCAGGGGCAGATAAATATGTATTTTCTAAAAATTTTTAGGGGCCCCATGGGCCAGATACAATGGCATGGCAGGCTGCATTTTGCCCACCACTGCATTAGACCTTTCTGCTATAGAAAAAAAAAAAAAAAAAAAAAAAGCTTTGCTTAAGTAGATAGGCACATTGAGTCATTAGTAACACTAACAGCATAGCTGGTTTAGTTTCTGCTAGGGGCTGCTGGGAACAACTACCTTTGCCTCATTTCTTCAATCCAGTTGAAACTCCAAGTTCTGCTCTAGAGAACAGTGCTAAAAACAGCTGCATTTCTGTCTAGGAAGATAGCAACTTCTCCTTGAACTAGCAGTGATGTAGTAGCCATTAGTATTGCAGTTAATGGTAGGTTTATACTCTTGGAAAGCATTTCCAAACAAATATAGCCTGGAGACCACAGCTCCTTTTAAGACTTCTGGTTTTGCTCAAGCACCTAATGAATTCTGGCTACTTAACTGCTGCAATAATACAGCCAAAGCATATATTTTCTTACTGCTTCCTCTAGACTTTATTCTGTATTTAGAAGTTAGCAGTGGCAGTTTTGGACTTATAGTTCTGATGTTGAACTAAGTGCAAAAATATTTTCCTTGGCAGAAGACAATTTCATGTTAGACAAGTTTGGATTCAGGCCTTCTTTGCACCCCCTGTGAATGCCAGTTCTGTTTAATACCAGCTCCAAGACTAAGATCACCCCCAACAATGCACTTTCCCCCAAGCTCCTCTTTCCAAAATGACACAAGAGAAACCTGCTTAAGCATTCTTAGGGGATAAGCAGAGGTCAGCCAATACAAAATTATTGCTTTGTGCAGCCTTATTTCTGCATCCTGTAACCCACAGCTGAGGAGAGCAAGCAGCAAGCCATGCCAAGTGCTCCCCAATTTAGTAAGAGTTCTGCATTTCTGCTCAATAAGTTTTTCCACCATAACATATGGCTTCTATTGGATCAAGGCTCAACATCTAGGCCTACTCATTTCTACCTCTTTTGTAAGAAGGGGCTCTGGCACAATGGCATGCTACTACACAGCCTGGCTAGCTTGCCAGCCAGTTTAAGAATATTGAACTTTTGTCAGAGAGACTAGTGAAGCCATCTTGTAGGTTATAATGCTAGGGACTGGAAAAAAAAAGACAACAAAAGAGACACCGCAGGAATAGCAATGGTGACTACTGCTTGAGGACCAGCTCATCCTTAAGTGGAAGATTTTCTGAGCATCTTGTTTAAAGCAGGATTGTATCTTCCAAAATACTTGCATCTGTTATGAAGTTCTCATTCACTAATTAGCTTAGTTCATCTACCTGGCTACTTATCCAATCAAATTCAACCTGGGGTAAAGTCTAGCTTCAAGTTCATGTTTGAACATCAAAAGTTTTTGCATTCAAAACAAGCTTCAGTACTGCCTAATGTATACCAGCACTAAAAAAAAAAACAAAAAAACAAAAACAAAAACTGTAAGTTTGTCTGAGAAGAGGAGTAGTTTCACCCAAGTAGTGAATGTGGTTTCTTAGCCATAAGAACGCAGGGCTGAAAGGGACCTCAAAGTCATCTAGTCCAGCCCACAAGGCATTAAACCCCTTAAGCAGAGAAACCAGGAGATACCAGACAAAGATCCCTGAAAGGACTTTGCAACTTGCAATGTCTTAGTAGTAGAAGCATAGCATGCTATTTAAGGCATTTCACACACACCTACCTTTTCTCTGTAAGCATAGGCAGAGATGCCAACTACAATTTCAATCAAGATGATAATTAGCAGCATGCCTGTAAACTAGAAAATAGTTTTAGATTACATGCATATAGCCATTATGCTCTCTTACTACATGCATATGTATTAGATTAATCCAGCCAATATCAAGCGTCATGGGAGCCTTTATCTTCATCTGCCTCCCCCATCTCAGAACTCTTCTCGACTTTCCAAAATGGGCATAATCAGAGAGTCAGACTCGGTACTCTTCTATGGTCATCAGTTCTGCTAGTATACAGCTACAATGGCTGACAAGGGATTAAGTCATGGTCACAAGGAGCCAGGTCAAAGTGGTGCAGACCTTTTTCTACAGATTGCGTCAATGTACAAATGGTAAAAACTGCTGCTGTTAGCATACCTCAGCAAGTGTTCCTGGGAACATGCAATTGTTTAGCAACTTTTTTAGCAACTGCAGTCAATTAAGTGTTGCAACATGGGCAAGATGTTATTGCAAGTGGCTCAAATAGTTTTAGAAAGTTACGCCATGTTTTTCCTCCCTCCTTTGTTACTTTCATCCCCCAAAGGACCCAGAACAATGGTTCAGATCTCTGCTCTGAAGCAGAAAAGTTTGAGTAAGGGCCTCAACATTACTGTTAGCCATGTCCCTTCATTGGATGGAGGTGCCCCCCCCCACAGTTAAACATGGAGGGGCCAGGGGCATAGTGTCCGAACGCTCCAGGTGGAGTCTTCAGGAGCCTCCTGTGCCAACCCAATTCTGCTCCCACCAAAGTCAGTTTTGGGTGCTTTCAAAAGTACCATTTTACATAGCTTTAATAGAAGCCCGTTGCTTTCCTCCAACACTAACAGTTGCAAAGGGAGGCAGAACAGTTGTTGGCATTTGGTCAAATCTTGCAAGAGATGGTATATTTAAGAAAAAGTCACTGGACATTTGGATGCCAGTATTCCAGGCACCAGGAAGTGACATCTTAAGCCAGCTCTAGGAAATATTTTGCTCTACAAGTATGAATTTTTGGTGGACTGCTCTATAAATCCAATGACCCTTCCTTAGCCATCTCCTACATTGGGGCTCTTATTTTGATCCCAAAAATCAAGGAGGCAACAGTTAATCCATATATTGAAGGGGGGGGGGGGGGGAGGAATGCCTAAACCCAGCTCAGAAAGGTTTTTCCAAGTTTCCAAGAAATCTCTAGACGAGACGTTTTATAGTCCTTAGGTCTGTTCCAAATCAGCAACTGCTCTAGAGTCCAGTAGAGCAAATCCATCTTTGGGAGAAGTGGCATTAACAAAGGTTCACGTCCTAAGTCAGAAGGCTTAGGGCTGATCATGTTCCCATTAAAATACTGCAAAATTGTAATGTATGTTTTACAGACTTGATGTTTGTAGTTTCGCAGATTTTTACTCTAGATAAATTATTCTGACCGTTGCTTGAAAGGATCATTAAAGATTAACTGTTCCCACTCATTTCTTCCAGATACTGCCAATTAAACCCAGATATAAGCATTCCTTTTATTGTTGTACTGTTCCTCCTGGTTGATCAAGTCTGGCGACACTGTCCCTACAGTATAATCTGCTTGACCATCTGAAGTGTCAAAGCAGATTTTGGAAGCGTTCCATAGCCTGTAGTTGGACTCTTGTGGCTTTACACCCACAAGTCTTATTAGCTTCTCCCTTTCCTTCCTTCCCTCTTGTGCCTCAAATATCTTCTTGGGAGGGGTACCATTTCCTGCTTACTTCTAGCATCCTTTGCAGTAAGGCAATGCAACTGTCACTAAAACAAAAGTCTCTTGTTACCCACCACCGCAGTCAAATAATCTGTGCTCCAATGGCATTTGGAAACCCAGCAATAGTTTGGTTAGCCCATTGTTATTTGCTAGAGCCTCCATTTCCCAGTCACATTGTCCAAAGTTGGCTAGACTCTCTCTGCCCCATTTGAGATCAGATCTGGGCCACAAATGCCTGTGAAAGTGCTCCCAGTCTCGGACACCAAAACAAATTAACAAAAAGATAGATGTCCAAGATTTTTAAAACTGCTGACCCCAGCAGTACCAAGCAGTTTGCACTCTGTACTGCCAAGTTGCTCCTCATTAGCTACATACAGCAGAGTTTCAAATTTAGTAGCTGAAATTAGTTTAGTTTGTCCTATCTCCATCCCCAAGCCAGAAAGTAGGCTTTCAATTTATTCTGCTATTTACTCAAGAACTTTGTTCAGATGCTTTTAGAATTGCTGTCAGTTTCCAAATCCTAGAAAAGGATGGCAAGTGGTGCTTAGGCACCCTGTAGTACTTCGGAGAGAACAGATCTTTTCATATTCAGGAAGCAAAGTAAACCCAGAAGGTCAAGAGTGAGGACTCATGGAGAACAAGCAATGTTTTTGCTACAAGTACTCAGCGTTTGAGAGCAAGGGCCACACCAGTCTGTGAAAGCCGTTGCGAGTGCCGATCCCAGGCAGGACTGCACGTGAAATTCCATGGAAAGCTTCAAGCCATCCCCAGGTGTCAAAGCCAACACTTGGTGCACAAAAAGCTTCCCTGCAAAACAGGATTCATCTAAGCAAGCTGAAAGGCTTTGCCTAGATGTGGACTTGGGAATTCAGTGATCCAGTCTACCAGGTAGCCAAAATTGGCAGGTAGCCATCGCCCCCAATGGAGGGTGCAAATCCTCAGCACTTAAGTCAAAACACACACAATTCCCTACCCTCTCCTCCCACCAAGGACACATTTGCCACAGAGATGCCTTAGTAGCTCAGTTCAAGGATCCAGGTTAGGGGGAAAAAAGATGAACACAAATAAGAGTAGACAAATAAAATAGCTACCATTTTGCATGCATTCCTCCCAAATGCACGTGTTAGAATAGGGAGCATCTACTTAAGCATTTCATATTTAAACAGTTAACTATCTGGGCTGCCCCTGCAATGGGCAATAGGGGTGTTCACATGTACTCCCCAGTAATTGGCCCAGTGAGTTATAAGCAGAAACTACTACGTTCACAGACATGTTAGTTTGAGGTAAAGCACTTTACTTTTCGTTTCTCACATGTAATGCATATCCCTTAGGGAAGCCAGTGCCAGACAGAAGGCAAACTACATGGGGCCAATCAGACTCTTCATACACAGGCACCATCCCCACCCTTTTGGTTTAAGAAGACTACTTCTCCCACCACAATTTGCACTGTTAAGACTCTATAAGAGATTAAACGCTGCCAGATACAGACAGTTTACCACTTTGATCATTGCATGATTGGACTTCATAAGAGCAATTGCACCAAAACTAGAGATGGACACAACGATGACTCCAACGAAGGTGATGATCACAGGAACACCAGAGGAAGCTTCGTTGATCACCACAAAAGTGTCACGGAGTTTTGTTTGGGCAGAAATCCCTATGCACATCAGCACAACTCCAGTGATCTGGAAGAGGTACAAAAGGAATTTAGGTCAATCTCATCCGAAGATCAAGTTCAACAAATTGAACATCCTGCTTTAAAAAAGGAAAGAAAAAAAAAAAAGCAGTAGAGAGCCACAGGAAGGTTGCAGCACTAGAGAACACACATAGAAAGAGTCCTCACTCAACAAATGGGTTCCTACCAAGGTGCAATGGGAAAGAATCAAAATCGATACCCAAATATAGGTGCATCTTCACTACAGATGTAGCTGGAGATAGAGGTAGTTAGCCATGTTAAGCTGAAATTAGATGGAAGGGAAAAAAGGTAGAGATGCAATTTATAACATTAACTAAACTGGAGATGCGCAAGCTTTGAGTGCAAGTCCTCACTTCAGGAGATGCGCAAGCTTTTTTGTAAGAGCTCATTACTAGCATCTCCAGTTCACTTAGTTTATAACAGGGGTCCCCAATGTTTGGGTACCCAAGGGCACATTCAAGCTTAAGAGAAAAAAAACACACCGCGGGCACCACTATGAACATCCGAGTGTAGAATCCTGGATCTGCGCATGGGTTCG